CCACCCATCTTGGACTCCTTTTCTTCTTAAGAACTCCTGTTTATTTACTTACTTACTAGGTTCTTACTTATCATTGTCCTGAGTTTATCAAAACTGGTTTTCTTAAAATGCAGTGTACATGTGCATCTACACTCCACTGTTGCTTCCTTTGAAATCAAGAATGCTAGTATAACATGGTATAATCCCCCCCAGCTCCCATTATTGCCACTTCATCTACCAAGTCATCTCTATTAGTTAGAATGGAGTCCAGAATAGTTACTTCTCTAGTTTCTTCTCCGCTTTTTGTAGGGGAAATTATCAGCCAAACAAGTCAGGAATTTCACAGAAGGGCCATGTTTGGCAGAATTCATTGCAGAGTTTTGAATTTCTGATTTCAGATTTAGGCTGAATATCAGGAAAAGCTTCCTTAAGGCAGCATGAGAATGGAATCAGTTACTTCAGGAGGTGGTGAGCACTCCAGTGCTGGAAACATTCTCTCAGGAACGCATCTCCTTAGATAAGTCATTCCACTAGGGGAAGGAGCCAACTGTAATTCCCAGCATCCACAACCTTTGCAACCTAGACTAGGTGAGTCCGGGTAGGTCCATGTGTGGGCAACTGTGGACAAGCTTCTGACCCTAGATTTCCAATTACTGACTTACATAGGCATCCTTCAGTCTCAAGAGACTATGCTAATGTGCTCTGTATGGAAGACTTAGAACAGTGTCTAGTGTTTCAACACTGTATGTGCAGCTGAAGTGTCTTCTCCAGGGCCCATAGCCTGGGTAAAATAATATGGAGGATAGGCTGTTATCCAAGCAGCAAATCCCCCCTCTCCAGATCACTGAAATAGTCCAATGGAAAGGCAAGAGCCAATACAACTGGTTCCAGCGACGTCGCAGGAGTTGCCAGAATGACACAAACTGCCTCCGGGACTCCGGCTCTGGATTTTGCCTTCAGGTTGACTCCTGAAGCTTTTTCCATCAGTGGATATAGCCACAAGGCAGTGGAGGTTTGAATTGAGAGTTTTCCTTCTCCTAGATGGGCTGCCTTCCAGGGCTGACAAGCCCCAACTACCCAGCTTGCTCCCCCATGGCATGGATGACGATGGCGGAGCCTCACTGGGATTTGAAGTTAGAGTTTCCTTCTCCTAGATGGGCTGCCTCCCAAGGTTGATGAGCCCCAACCTACCTGGCCTGCTCCCTCATGGCATGGATGACGATGAGCTTAAAACTATTAGCTGTGCACACCAGCCTTATCAGGCAGGACACCCAAATAACCAAAAATAGCAAATAAAGCCCTTGTGGTGAAGGCACTTTGTTTAGGCACTCTCACCCTTGCCCCAAGAATCACACTGGGGTAAAATATAGAATATTTATTTAAAAAGAGTAAAAAGTTGTAAAACAAAGAAAATATAAAAAGACACAATTGTACTTGTTAAATGCAAAGCATCTAGGTATTAAGTAAGCTTCTGTAAGCCTTTCCCATAAAACAATAAAATACTGACTAGCAGCTTTGATACTTAATTGCTGACTATTCTGAGGTACCATGGCTAAGTCTCCAATCCATCCTCGAAACAGTTGTTTGCAAAACCATTAGCGTAAACATATCCAAAAGATTACAATGGTTAAATAAAGCTGCTATTTCTTATTAAAATATGAAACACTAAAAACTAAGCTAAATAATCATTGTAGCTTTTAAGGTGGGCTATTCCCCCTCCTTCTTCTGGTTTTAAAAAGACAAACCGATTTTCCTTGCTACATTCTGTAAGTATTCTGTCCCATAACACAATCCATTTGATACTCAATTCCATGGATACAGATACTTTAAACACATTCCATCATCCATCCTTTATTACATCTCTAAGACATCCTACTTTTGACACTCAATAGCTGTAAATCAATTAACTTCAAAGAGCTTTAACACGACTCTCCATCCAGAATTCTCATGAAATCCAGGTGTGTTCTCTCCCTGCCAATTAAGACGGTATGCATGTTTGGGTTTCGCTGAGCTTCTTCATCCTTGTCTTGTTATCACAGTTTTCTCTGTACCAGGCAGTCAGTGAATCTGCAGTCTCACGTCCTAACATATTCCTATGCCTTAAAATCATGTCACTTTGAACCTAACAGTCTCCATTTTTTCTGACTACAAATCCCACTCTCCTTCAGATCATCACAGTACAACGGTACACCACTAGCAAAAATGTTTTGGTTATCAGTCCTGAGAAACACCCTTGGCTCATTTTCACATGAACAGTCTCCAGGCACAATGAACATCTGCAAATCCTGGGAAATAAGTATTACAAAACTCGTATCCTGACACGTTCAAAGAATTTATTTATTTATTTATTTGATTTATACCCCGCCTATCTGGCCCACCGGACCACTCTAGGCCGCTTCCAATATAAAATCAGATAATAAAAACATAGACAAATACATAATAATCAAACAGCAACAGCAGTGAAATAAAGAAGGAAAAGTAAGAAAGAAATCAAGAATTGGCTGGAGGGAAGGCCTGGATAAATAACCATGTTTTTAGTTGGGTTTTAAAGGTGCCCAGCATGGGGGCCGCACGAATCTCCGGAGGGAGATTGTTCCAAAGGCGAGGAGCCACCGCCGAGTAGGCCCGGTTTCGTGTCTTCTCCTTCCGGGCCTCTCTCGGCATCAGGCTCCTCAGCCTCACCTCCTGACTCGTGCGGGTGATCCGGGTAGACCTTGGTGGGAGGAAGCGTTCCGCCAAATATCGAGATTATTAGACAATTATTTATCAGATATACTTTGATTTGGATTCTTGCATTGATCAGGGGTTGGAAAATTGCCTTATAGACTCTTTCTGACTCCATTATCTGTGTTTTTTTTGATTCTATCATGTTCCTTTTATTTTTCACTCCAGTGATATTAATCCAAACACTCTGTATGGGAAAACAAAGCTGTATATTTATGACATATAGTGCATATCAGCCTCCCTTTCTATTCTTTCTGAACTATTTATATCCTTCAGTTGCTTGAATTTCAGTCATGGGAGTCATCCCACCAAGTTTCAGTTATCCCTATTGAGTCATATTTACTCTCCTGAATACATATTTCCTGTTCTTGCTTCCCATACTCATGGCATTCATCTATACTGTGTGAGATTGTGTGAATTGTGGCCTGTTTTCCTTTGTACATTTTTATGAAGATTATTAGTGGACCTCATTGGAGCTGCTTGGTCCATTCCTCTCATTGTGTCCTCTTATTGTGTGTAAGGCTTCATCTACCCTTAACTCTGTGCTTGCATCTTCCTCCCCCTTCCAATTCAGTTTAAAGACTTCTTGATGAAGTTCTTCATGCTGTAGCCAAACACATTCTTCCCTCCCCTGCAAAACCCATCACTTGCAAGCAATCCACCTTCCAGGAAGTGAAACCTGTGGTGCCAAATCCAAATCTCTTATGTTGGTGCTACTTTTGTAGCCAGTTGTTCACCTGGAATATTTTCCTTCCCCTTTCTATTCCTCTTCCAAGTACTGATAAGATGGACAAAAAGACTATCTGCCCCCCCCCCAATCCTTTGAGTTTTTCCCCAGAGCTTCAAAGTCTGATGTGATTTATTCATTGTTTCCCTTGGCTCTGCCCTTTGCACAGTTCCCACTTGGATGAGAGGAAAGGGATCTGCATCTGTGGGATTTATGAGCCTTCTGTCATATCCCTGATCCATCCTCTAGAGAGACAGCATACCTGGTGGATCTGTAGAACTTGGCAACATATTTTGGTTTCAATCCCATGCAGTAGGGGGTCTCTTTCTACATCTGCCCTTGTTGTAGGGTGTGCATTCAGTTACTCTGCTTGACTGGGTTTCACTTTTTCTTATGTTCTCCTATCGAGTCTTCTGTATTTCTTCTTTTGTATGTTGTCTGTCAGATTCCAAGAATCAGAAAATGGCTTTGCAGTTCCATTGGTGAAGAATGTCTTCTCCTTTTGCTTCTAAATGTGACCCTTTCCCATAGTGCTTCCTCCACTATGTTTATTCTCTCTTCAGCATTCTTCTCTACTTTAACCTCCAGTGCCTTCTTTAGCTGCTGCTGCTCAAGAGTTCTACCTATGTACTCTTCAACTATGTATCAACATAGTTCTTTAGTGTTGGACTTTGTGGGCAGAATTTGATTGCTTACACATACGGGCATAAGATAGTGTCATAAATTAAATAGATACATTAGTAACTATAGTAATACTGGGAAAATCTTCAGTTTTTCTTTTTATGTCTCTTTGTAGTATAATTGTACAAATTTATGTAAATGTACTATTTCACTCTCTGGATTTTTACCCTATCTCTATCCATACTTACCCCCCTACCCTAAATTCTGTTCCCCATAATCCTATCCCCTTTGAAAAGAATAAAAAATTAAGAGTGAAAAAAAGAATAGTGTCATAAATCACAGCTGCCAGTTGCAGCTAGTTAAGAAGTCACCACTTGTATTCCTCCTTCTGTACCGAGTCACATGACTGATGCACAATGAGGAAAACTATCACTGATTCTTTAACAGCAATTCACTTCTGTGATTTACATTGCTGCACTTACACTGGTATACATAAGCAGTCAGGCTCTGACCTATGTGTACATTTTAATGCAAAAGTGCTCTCAAATGAGCTCTCATGTTTATTTTCATACTATCAGATAAGTGTGTGCCATAGATTTTTACCACATCCATGGAGCTTTTGCTGTAATTCTCACTGGTTTTCTAGTTTATGTTCTACCTTCAACTTTAAACTTGAATGTTGGCTTCAGTATTATTTCTGAGAGGCTTGGAAAGTAACCAGCATATTACAGCTGCTTCAGTCACCCACAGAGAAAAACTAAGTTCCACTCATGTGAGGAGAAATGTAATTTGATGTATTATTTCTGGAGTGTTTTCTATTAACTTTGCTTGTTGCATACACACATCCTTTTTGGCTTGATTTTTATTTACTTGGTAACATTACTGTTTATATTGTGTAACTGTTTTATTCTCTTTTTTTCCTTTTTGTTCTGCTTTGCGTTCTGTTCAGTTCTGAGGGTCCAGGGTATGTTGCTACACATAATAATTTCTGTTTCACTGTAAGTGGTTGTTTTGGTATTGCACAAATCTAAACAGGCATGTTTCTACAATTATAGTGTAGCTACCTATTGTATTAAACAATATTAGCTGTTTTATATTTCCCATATATATTTCCTCGCATGTTTAAACTTTAATGGAATGTTTTTCACATTTTGTTATAATAATGATTAAAGTCCATATTTGAAAATATCTATAATTCTGCTTTTCTTATAATCAGCATTTTGGGGCTAAGCCTTTTCAAACTGGCAGAAACAAAACGACCCTTAAAACCAAGACGAAAGGAAAGGAAAAAAGTAACTGTGCAGAATCTGTCAGATGGTGATGTAAAACTCTTCGTGAACATCGTTAGAGCTTATGACATCCCCATTAGAAAGCCTACAGGGAGGTAAGAAAGTTTCATTCACATTTTCATTCATTATGTATTAAATGATTGTGAAATGATCATCAGTGACAAATTATTTAATTTAGTCCACAACAAAAATAGAAAGCAGATATTTTGCACCAGTTGAGAGCCCATTTTAATATTTAACAGTGAAACTGCTTGGAGGTAAATTAGCAGCACATGGCCGATGCTGATAAAGGACATCTGTGTATAGCAATCCGTTGTGCATATATAGCTGAGATGAATGTGCATGTGCATCAGTGACCATTTTTGCATCAGGGTACATTCTTGGCTTGCACTAATTTGGCTCTGAGCAGTATGCCATAATGTTTTTATATGCTGTAGAAATAATCTCAAATGTCTTTTTAAATAACTGCAAGTATTTGAAATGAAACACTTCAGTGCAAAAATATTCAAAATGTATACATAATATGGACTCAGTGGAAAAGAAGGTATTGAAAATTATTTAATTTATTAATGTATTTATGTATTGATTATGTATAAATACATAATATAATACACAGACCTACGTGTGATGCCCAAGCCTCCCTAAGGAACACTTAGCACTCAGTCAGAGAGTTCGACAGGCCACTTACCTACCACCTTTGCACTGAGGCAAGTCCCAAGACCTCAGCAGTGCATAGGCTAAGCCCCTTGAACAAGTCTGACCTTAAAAAGAACATTTTACTTTTACCCAGTACAGACACATGAGCTTTGTGATTCCTTAGAATTCACAACAGCTCAGTTAGGTAGGACTCTTAAAGATAGCTAGTTTGTGGCCCTCTGCATGCACTGGATTTATCCAGACCCTGCTGTTCAAGAGACCAGTCCTTTTCTATGAATTTTTATAATTAATTTTTATTTAAAAAATAGAGTTTCATAGAATCAGTTTATATTGATCAAGCTTTAGCATAAAGAACATATTCAAAGATCATTACAGTTAAATAAAATCACTAATCCCCATTAAAATAATAAACACTACTAAGCTGGACTAAAGTAGGCTAGCCCCACCTCCATCTTTTTCTTCACTTATATTCTTTCTCCCTCAAGCCACATACTCAAACATCACATCAAGTTTTTTCTCTCCCATCATCATAGAATCGAACCTCTCCCACATAACCCATCGTCCATTTTCTACATTCTCTAACTCCTCTCTTCTTCTTGACACTCCATGGCTGTTAACCAATGAGCCCCAAGGGGCTGTAATACTTTCCTCCACCCCCAGTTCCCATGAAGACCCAGTTTTATCTCTTCTCCAATTAGCTTGGAATGATGAGTCTTTCACAGGCCTCTTTGTCCAACCTTCAACTTTATCTCGAACCACACTGTACCAGTTTCAGAAAAACACTCTCATAGCACTTAGAAAAACACATTCCAATTTCTCTCAAATCATCCTGACACAGAAACTGTCCCAACTCCATCCCGTATTTCTCTGACTAAATATCCCACACTGCTTCAACTCCATCACACTATGTATTTATGTATTTCATAAATACATATATAGACTTATCCATTTATTTGTAAATAAGCTTGCCTATTTCCTCGGGTTGAAGACTTTTTGGGAGGTGGGGGGAGATTTATTACAACTTTATAATCAATTTTATTTTAAATAGTTCTATATTTCATCTGCTCCATATGCTATTTAATTTTGTGAAACGAAGCCTTTTTAAAAATTAGAGCAACAAAAGTTTATCTTCCATGGTACTTTCTAACAAAGATTTCAGTGGGTGAAATCCTGTTTATAGTGTAAACCCAAGCATAGCTTCCTGTTCGTTGTTGCCTGGTTAAAAAAAACACAGCAGTGATTCTCAAGGAATGTGCACACATGTTAGCTTGTAGCATTTGCATGCACAACCCTCTTCCTCAAATTGTGGCAGTGTCACCTTGTTTAGTAGAGAGGAAGGAACAAAACGTTATGCTTGGGCTTGTTCTACAAACAAGCTTTCAGCCAAGGTTTTTGGAAACTCTGAGCCTCATGGCGCAGTGGTTAAACCGCTGTACTGTAGCCAAAACTGTGCTCACGACCTGGGGTTCAATCCCAGGTGGCCGGCTCAAGGTTAACTCAGCCTTCTATCCTTTCCTAGGTTGGTAAAATGAGTACCCAGCTTGCTGGGGGGGGGCAACGTGTAGCCTGCGTAATTGACTTGTAAACCGCCCAGAGAGTGCTTGAAGCACTATGCGGCGGTATATAAGCAGCACACTTTGTTTTAAAATCTTCCTTTCTTCAGTTTCCTTAGTTTCCTTCCCCTAGTTATTTTAAGATACTTATTGATATTTTTGCATATATTCCTATCAAGCAAACTCCAGCAACCATCTAGATCATCTTGGTCCTTCAATGAGATGTTTGCTGCTTCTGCAACCCTTCAGAGCCCAACACACAGTATAGAATGGGCTTTGAACCAGGTAAGTTGTGATAGTGTAACTTCTTTCTGTCACTGTCATCATCATCTTAGAACTGCCATTGAAATGTAAAGAAAAAGAAGCATTATTTCATTTTAAAATAGTACAAAATGCAAGGCTTTTCACTTTTTTCCTTGGATATAGAAAAGAGAGTACTGTACTGCTTTTCCTGTTAAAAACAAAGAGGGTTTTTTCTTGTTAGAGAGGGGATTATTTTTCCTTAGCAGGCCCCTCCTCCCTTCATGGCTTCTAGTCATTCCCCTCTTACTGATCTGTGGGCTGTCTCTTAATGAATAAGTATGCTACTGGCGTGCTCTGGTCCATGGGGTCACGAAGAGTCGGACACGACTAAACGACTAAACCAAAACGATGCTACTTGTGGCAAAAAGAGCCCTCAGTTGAATCCCTCAGTTGGACCTTCAGGCTGTCATACATACTTTGGCTATCTGACCCAACTCACCATGAGTACTTCTCATCGTCGTTTAGTCGTGTCTGACTCTTCGTGACCCCATGGACCAGAGCACGCCGAGCCCTCCTATCTTCCACTGCCTCCCAGAATTGTGTCAGGTTCATGTTGGTAGCTTCAATGACACTGTCCAACCCTGTCACCCCGTCGTCCCCTTCTCCTCTTGCCTTACAATTTCTCAACACCAATTTTTTAGTTCAAACACTATTCATGTAACATCTATTGCTCTCATTCATTTAAAACATAAGATAAGGATAGCAAAGAGGCCCTTTTCACAATTCACATGCACACCATACTCAGACACAGCAACCAAACTCTTCCCCAATAGTTGATCAGTCCTTCGGTAAGAGTGATGAGAGCGACATTGCAGCACTGTTCAAAGCCCACAGTCTCCTCCTTGGTCATCCTTCTTGTAGCCATCTGTCATGTCCCCACCTGTCCATTGGTTGTTTCACAAATCAAAGAGCACAAGCTACATATCGTTCAGCTTCTGCAGTGTCCATATGATAGCTAGACACTCTTTTGCTATTGTGGACAAGTGTTTCTCACCCGACTGAAGCTTCTTGCTGATGTACATCACTGGGTGCACATTTCCACTGTCATCGGCTTGGCTCAACACAGCTCCCAGTCCTACATTTGACACATCCGTGTAGATGATGAACTCACAGTTGAAGTCCGGTGCAATAAGGACAGGTCCTGAAGTCAGTGCCCTCTTCAGATGATTGAAGGCTACCTGCCATTCTGACATCGATTTGATGTTTTCAGCTTGCTTTTTTTGGGTTAAGTTTGATAATGGGGCAGCCAACTCACTGAAATTTGGCACAAAGCTATGATAGTAGCCAGCTAACCTGAAAAATGCTCTGATTCTCTTTTTAGACATTGGAGTGGGCCAATTGTTAATGGCTTTTATCTCAGGGTTTTGATCACACCTCCCCCGACTAAATGGCCTAAATATTTCAATTCTGAACTTCCAAGTTATTATTTGATTGCTTTCACTGTTAAACCAGCCTCATGCAACTTCTGTAGCATGACCTCTAGGTGGACTTTGCGCTCCTCCCAGGTCTGGCTAAAAATTCCAATATCGCCCATGTTGTTTAGTCATTAAGTCATGTGTGATTCTTCATGACCTTATGGACCAGAGCACGCCAGGCCCTCCTGTCTTCCACTGCGTCCTGGAATTTGGTCAAAGTCATGTTGGTAGCTTTGATGACACTGTCCAGCCATCTGGTTCTCTGTCATCCCCTTTGGGAATCATCATAAGAGACATTTTCTTTAATTTGCAGTTTTGTAAATTGTCACTGCCATTTTAAATGAAATGTTTCTAAAGTGTTTTAATTTCAAGTCAAGTCTTTAATACAGTCAGAGACCAATATCCAAATGTACAAATAAAACAAACTAAAGAGCATTGCATTATCATGTATTAAAAGTGTATGTGCAAAAGTAAATTATCCTAACAGAAATGATAAGTACTGCTGACTCAGTGAATTAATAGCAGGTTTTAGCTATCAGTGGGAATTCTTAAATTGGATTTGAACCTTTTAATTTCAGTTGTGTTTAATACTGATTTAATTAGTTTTTAAGTTGGGTAGTGTTTGATTTTAGCAACACTGGTTTCTAACTGCATTACATCTATTATGAGAGAATAACGGTGTAGAAATGAAATAAAATGTTTTGTGCTATCAAGTCACTTCTGACTAATAGTGATTCTATGAATTAATGAGACTGAAATATGTTTTTTTATTATCAGCCAATCTCACATTTGGTTCTCTGTTTCCCTGCTGCTTTTCCCAACATTATCATCTTTTCAAGTTAGGCTTGCATTCTTATGATGTGCCCAAAGTACAATAGCCTCTGTTTATTTTTTATTTTAGAGAAAGTTTAGGCTTAATATGACATCATGTGTTGTTAAGTTGGAACTGACTTACAGTAACACTACCAGGGTTTTCAAGATAAGTGAGATATTTAAGGAGTGGCTTTACTAGTTCCACTCCTCCAGTCAGTTTCCATGGCTGAGCGGGGATTTGAATCCTGTTCTCCAGATTCCTCGTCTGTCACTCTATCCACTACACCACCCTGGGGATCCATATGACCTAGCACTCACTTTGTTTTTCCAGCAATATTCCTAAAACTCTCTTCCAATAAATTTCAAATGAATTGATTTTTCCCCTCTTAGTTTTCAGCATTGTCCAGCTTTCACATCTGTATATAGTACAGATGTGAAATATGGTATTATATATCTGATAATATCATATTGCAAATTATTTTCATCTTGGTCTCCAGTGATACATCCTTGCACTTGGGATCATTTTCAATTTCTTCAAATGCAGACTACTATTGGTTTGTGTGTGTGTCAGGTTTGAAGGAGAAGCTATACTCTTAGAGTTTGCTTCTTTGGATGAGTGTTTCCTTGGATGAGAATCACATTGATTTTTGACTCTGCCTGTAATTCAAATATTATGTAGAACCTTGAGATGCACCATGACCTAGAGATCAATGGAAGTTATATTTCAACAGAATGTTAAATATCCTGCTGTAAGATTTGGAAAAATGTGTCCCCTTTTTCTGTTTTCTGTTAGGTTTTAGTCCGGCCTTTTGTAGAAGTTTCTTTTCAGCGAATGGTTTGTAGGACAACCACTGCTGAAGGGCCAAACCCAAACTGGAATGAAGAGTTGGAACTTCCATTTAGGTGACAGTGCATCTTTTACATTTGGGGGTGGGTGTGTACAAAATGCAGCTTGTAGCTTTTGGTGTCAAAGTGCTCCCCTCAGCAACCCTAGTTCCCCTATGCACTCAAAACAACTTTTTTTAAAAATTGCCTGAAAAATCCACTCTTGGTAGGAGGTGGGGACAATTTTGGACTCTGCAGCACCCAAATTTTTACTAGGATGAATCAAAGGACCATCTTCTGGTTTTAAAAAAATAAACTAAAATTAAATTAGTGGCAATGGACACAGGAGTGGTTGCAGTCCTTGAAAATCTGGGATGGGCATGTGCATTATCCAAACCTCTGGAAATCACCATCCTTGTTCTAAAAAAAATCTGTTTTGTGTTCTCTCATCTTTTTTAAAAAACCTCACAAAATATAGAGCTCCTGATGATGATTACAGTACCTCCAGCCTGCAGTCAGTGAAGGATGGGATCTTCATTAACATATTTGATGAAGTATTATATAATGTCTTAGAGGTGAGCAATACATCTGAAATATTATGTTCATTTTGTACACTTGTAGGTAAAAGTACAGAGAGGCAAATCATGGGAAACATACATAGCTGCTATAAAAGAACCCCAAAAGATAAGGTTTGTTGGCTGCAGTCCAGTACTCATTAAACTCTGATGAGAGCTGAGCTAAAATGGTAAAGAGGGTGGAGTGGATAGCAGTCAGTGGTGTGTGTTTTTTAAAGCCAGTTATTAAAAATAACATATTCTTAAAATTTGGTTTGTTCAGAAAAGCCCTGTGTGGTGGTAGTTTTCAGTTAGAATGTGCTGATAATAAATAATTTCCAGTCAGGTCAATTCTGATTTATGACAACCCTTTTCATGGTTTTCCAGGTAGAGAATGCACAGAAGAGGTATACCATTCTGTAGCAACCCCAGACCTACTGGAGTATCCCACCCTGTAGTTAGGCTGCCACCAACCATTCGCTCTACCAAGTCACCCAGACCAGGAATGGATTTTAATAAACAAAAGAACAAGGTTTATTGAAAAAAGCAAACAGGGTAAATAAAAGGATCAGGTAAATAGGATACTGGAACTTGGTATAGTCCCAATCATACACATACAACAGATTGGTTCTCACGGAACACTTTAAGGTAACGCACAGACCCTGAACCTATCAGTTCTGGCTACCTAGATAGAAACCCGAACCTATCAGGTATGTACTGTCTGACGAACAGTTGTACCCAGTCTGACCCACAGACTCCAACTCCACTTCTCCACGTCAGCTTCCCTACGATGGACTTCCCCCCAATATATATACAGTACAGCTCCTCCCCCCTGATGTCCCGCCTTCCACTCCCCATAGGATGGAACTTTCCCTCCAAACCCATGACAGACAGGTACCATCGGTGCTGTATGTGACACATTCCCTTCTTCTGGGAGCATCCTGGGATTATGCAGCTTGCCCATGGCCACACAGACTGGTTCTACTTGCAGAAGGCACAGTGAGGAACTGAACTCCCAACCTCTGGCTTCGCAGCTAGATATCTAAACCTGTCTTACACCTCAAAAATCTTATTATGGAATAAGGATTTTAAATTCTAATTCTAAATTATGAGACAATATATTAATATACTTTTTTAAAAAAATAGTAAATAGAATCCAACAGTTCTTAAACTAAGGCCTCAGTTTTATGAAGTTGTCTACGCTTTGGTATAAATTATTTAGATTAATATTTTAGTTTTCCCCAAATGTTCAGTCCAACACTCAGTCTAGGATACCATTAGAAAATTGTGCTGTTTTCAAATTACATTTATATTTCTAGAGATAATATACTTTTTAACAATAAATGAAAATTGGCCAGCTCTGTTTTCTAGTTATGAGGGGTTACCCCAATCCTGGTGATTTTTCCCCACTCCTGGCATTGTATAATTCCAACAGGGAATTCTTAGAAGCCCTATTAAAATATCCAGGATTGCTTTCAGAAGTTTACTTGTCCAATGCAAATCCCTTCTAGGGTGGTATAGGTAAAACATGAACTTGATATTAAAATATGTGAAAAGAACATAATTGTAGGGTTTTGTTTGTTTGTTTGTTTGTTTCTTTAAATATCAGTGCAGTATGTATGGATAGGATAGCTTTATTATGGTCAAGGACCAGCAAGACGAGAATAATATAAAATAAATACATACAAATGCAATTTCATAAAACTAAGCAGAATTATATTTTTTCCATTAAAAACATGATAAATCAACCCCTTCTTTCAAATTAATAACATCATAATGAATTAAGTTGACTATATCTTTAAAATAAGTGAAACCTTGGCCAGTGTCATGTTATAAAAGCATCTTATATCACAACCCAAACTAATAGTAATGATTAACTATTGCTGAATGACTAACTTTTTAGGGACGTGGTGCTTTAGGGACATGGTGGCACTGCAGGTTAAACCGGCGAAGCCTCTGTGCTGCAAGGTCAGAAGACCAGCAGTCGTAAGATTGAATCCACGCAACAGCGTAAGCTCCTATTGCTTGTCCCAGCTCCCGCCAACCAAGCTATTCGAAAGCATGTAAAAATGCGAGTAGATAAATAGGTACCACCTTGGTGGGAAGGTATCGGCATTCCGTGTCTCGTTGCACTGGCTACTTGACCACGGAAACTGTCTTTGGACAAACATTGGCTCTACAGCTTGGAAATGGGGATGAGCACCGCACCCTAGAGTCAGACACAACTGGACTAAAGGTATAGGGGGACTTATACCTAACTATTGCTGCAGCACAGAATTTGGCCATTTGTCTTGCAATATAAGGGGTATTGTCAGAGAGTAGCAACTGTATATAATACTCCTTTGATCTCCCAGGAGATTTACAAATAATAGGAAGTAAAAGCTCTATACGTAAATCCCAATACCAAGTACAATATAAAAGAACATGCCCAACTGTTTCAACTTTGTCATTATTACAAGGGCAGAGATAGTCCAATGGAGGCAAACCTCAAAACCTTCCCTCCAGAAACTTAAAATGTAATACATTAAGTCTAGCTAGTGTAAAAGCCCTTGTGGCTTTAGAGGAGATAGGTAAAGGTTCCCTTGACAATTGTCCAGTTGTGTTCAACTCTAGGGGGTGTTGCTAATCCCCGTTTCCAAGCCATAGAGCCAGTGTTTGTCCATAGGATAACTATTCTTAACTATAGCTATTTTAAAATAATGGGTGCCAAGGCAGCTGCTGAAAAGGACAGCAACAAAGTGAGATAGTTTAGGGGGAAGCAATTTCTGTCACCTTCCTTTGCTGTCTCTGGTTGTTGCATGCAGCGACCTTCAGCACTTTTTCAGCATGTTCACAGGAACCGACCAGTGACAAAGTAACAACGTCTTAGAACTTACCAATACATCTGCATTCCAGGGTGTACATTTGAAGTATCTTCATTAAACACTTGATTCAGGATACAATTGTACTAAAGAGATACATACCAAATCCATGGGTAACTATCCTAGTGATCTGATCTTATAGACACATCAGATTTGAATTTGCTTTATATGATTGAGCTTTGGGCAGGAGGTTTCTAACACCTACTCTCAGTTCTGAGGAGAGGGAAATATTTTGCTTACTTTTTCATCAAACTTTAAAATCACTTTATAGTGCTGAGGTGAGGAGAAGCATGTACCAAAGACCTGATTTCAGTTGCTCCCCTGAGCATAATTACTCCTTTGTCCACTTTTGTTGTTGTTTTTATGAGATCTGTATCCCATCTTACATTTTGAAATAGTCTCAAGGCAGATTATAAGAATAACAGAATATGAAATAGAATGAAATAGTGTTAAAATACCAGACATACAAACATCAGATAATACGACAGATAAAAAGAGGTGCACAGGATTCTTTCTAGGCTGTTAAAGCATTGAGATACTGCTAAAAGCAAAATAGAAATGGATGGACCTAGCTTGGCATCTAAAAAAGAGGTAACAAAGGACCTGTCTCAGAAGAGATTCCCATTATTTGAGGGCCACTAGGGAAAGATTTTCTCTGTTTCCCACTTATCCTGTATGCAGATATTTTATCTATGCAGCACGATGAAAATGGAAGTGTGAAGAAAGTTGACAACAATAGTGCTGCTCATGTTGCTCATTAAACTCTGCATGCTCATTTCCTTTGTTTTTGTTGTAAATACTAGCATCTCTAAGATCATAGTACTGTATCAGCTTGCATTGTTTTTTTTTGTTTGTTTTTTTTGGTCAGAAAAAATAACATTCCTTTTTCCCAACCTAGATAGAATAATAATGGAGAGTAGTCATCTTTTAAAAAAGAGAGAGAGATGGAATTCAAGAATATCTTTTCTGCTGTGAATTTTTAGCAAGATCTTTGTGAATTGGTTTTTTTAAGGATGATCGTGAAAGAGAAAGTGGTGGAGTCCACACTCGTGTTGAAAAACACTGGCTTGGATCTATTCAGATTCCCTTTACAACAGTATATTTTCAAGGAAGAGTAAGTACACATTCTGGAGGCTTATCCAGAAAACAATTATATTAAAATAAGGCTTTTAAAAAATGAACAGAAAAGAAAATATTTACTGTTGGCTGTTGGTGCTCAGCTGCATATTGATGATCACAGTTCTGTTTTTTTTACTTTAGATTGATGGTACATTCAGGATAGACATTCCTCCTGTTCTTCTTGGGTATAGTAAGGGAAGAAGTGTGGGAACTGAAAGAGGATATGATTCCATTCGAAATCTGAGTGAAGGCTCATTTCTGTCACTCTTTATTACTATTGAACCACAGCTTATTCCTGGAGAATCCATTCGGGAAAAGGTAAATCACATCAATCTTTATTTTTAGTCAAGATTCTAAAATCACTATCTACTTAACAGTTGCCGTTTACCAAATACTGAAAGGTAAACATCAGAATAGACAGACAGACTTCTTGGACATGTTATTTTGACTTCTGAGCAGATGCAAATATATTTTTCCCAGCAGAATTTAGGTAAACAAGAGAGTAAAGTCACAGTCACAATGTTTCTCTACCATGTAGAAATCACAGCAAAATCATGAAACCTTTTTGTTTCAGAATTGGACTTATAGTACATTTTCCTTTCAGGTTTTGTTAAGGCTGTATTTATTGGTGCTCAGCTGCCAGGCCATGGACCGGGAGTTGGGGACCTCTATGCTATATAATACTAGTCAATGTTTTTATAATTTTGATTGACTGTGCCAGGTGTTTTTGAATAATAATGATAATGGCCTGGATAGTTTATAAAAAGGAATTTGACACATTGCCACACATCTGGCGTAGCAGCATCTTTAGGAAAATTGGGATTAGTAAAAATATTCAGAAGTTCCTCAAGAAAAACATGGAAAACTGTCTTAATGAAGAATTTGGCAAAGTTAGCATCAAAAGAGGAATATTTCAAGGGGATTTTTTGTCATCACTACTGTTTAACATTTCACTAATCCATATGTCAATAACTTAATAAAACTGGATTGGGCTGCCATATTTCAGAACAAGCTAGAAAAATCAATCATGGATGACCAAAAGCTATATGCAAAAACTTCCACTGAACTAGAATTACTGCTAAACACAGTATGAATATTTAATGAATATATTCAATGAAATTTGGAATTGATAAATGTGCAGTTCTGTCTATACAGCGTGGTAGGATCCAAAAACTAGATGGAATAGTTTTAAAATGGTAATATTATAAAATCACTATCAAGTGGTGAAAGTTATAAATATCTTGGAATACTAGAAGCAGATAACATCCTGCACATAAAAGTTAAAGAACTGACAGAATGGGAATATATCAAAAAACTGCAGAAAATCTTGAAATAAAAGTTAAATAGTGGAAATGAAATTAAAGCGATAAACACATGAGCAGTTCCAGTAATTAGATACCCAGCTGGAATAATAGTTTGGACTGAAAATAATGTGAAGAATTGAATAGAAAAACACAGAAACTAATGAACATGTATCATGTATTACATCCAAATAAGTGATGTGGACAGGTTATATTTGCCACAGCACAGGAGGAAAAAAGATGCCTAAAATATTAGTACTTAAGGTGGTGAAAATGAAGAATATTTTGAAAACAACAGAAACAAAGGATAAATATGTTGTTGTTTAGTCGTTAAGTCATATCCGACTTTTCATGACCCCATGGACCTGAGCACACCAGGCCCTCCTGTCTTCCACTGCCTCCCAGAGTTGGGTCAAATTCATGTTGGTAGCTTCAGTGACACTATTCAACCATCTTGTCCTCTGTTGTCCCCTTCTTCTCTTGCTTTCACACTTTCTCAGCATCAGGGTCTTTTCCAGGGAGTCTTCTCTTCTCATGAGATGGCCAAGATATTGGAGCCTCAGCTTCAGGATCTGTCCTTCCAGTGAGCACTCAAGGTTGATTTCCTTTAGAATGGATAGGTTTGTTCTCCTTGAAGTCCAGGGGACTCTCAAGAGCCTCCTCCAGCACCACAATTCAAAAGCATCAATTCTTCAGTGGTCAGCCTTCTTTATGGTCCAGCTCTCATTTCCATACATCGCTAGTGGAAAAATCATAGCTTTGACTATGCAGACCTTTGTCGGCAAGGTGATGTCTCTGTTTTTTAGGATGCGGTCAAGGTTTGTCATCGCTTTCCTCCCAAGAAGCAGGCACCTTTTAATTTCGTGGCTGCTGTCACCATCTGCAGGGATCACGGAACCCAAGAAAGTCTGTCACTGCCTCCATATCTTCCCCTTCTATTTGCCAGGAGGTGATGGGACCAGTGACCATGATCTTAGTTTTTCTGATGTCAAGCTTCAGACCATTTTTTGCACTCTCTTCTTTCACCTTCAATATGAGGTTCTTTAATTCCTCCTCACTTTTTGCCATCAGAGTGGTATCATCTGCATATCTGAGGCTGTTGATATTTCTTCCAGCAATCTTAATTCCGGCATGGGATTCCTCCAGTCCGGCCTTTTGCATGATGTATTCTGCATATAAGTTAAATAAGCAAGAGGACAGTGTCCAGCCTTGTCATACTCCTTTCCCAATTTTTAACCAATCAGTGTTTCCATATCCAGTTCTTCCTGTCCCACATATAGGTTTCTCAGGAGGTAGATAAGGTGATTAGGCACTCCCATTTCTTTAAAGACTTGCCATAGCTTGCTGTGGTCCACACAGTCAAAGGCTTTTGCATAGTCAATGAAGCAGAAGTAGATGTTTTTCTGGAACTCTCTGGCTTTCTCTATAATCCAGCACATATTAGCAATTTGGTCCCTAGTTCCTCTGCCCCTTAGAAATCCAGCTTGTACTTCTGGGAGTTCTTGGTCCACATACTGCTGAAGCCTACCTTGGAGGATATTGAGCATAACCTTGCTAGCGTGGTTATGTTTTCCTTAGAGCCAGCTAAAAGAAAAGAAGAGAGATTGTGGATTCCCCCCTCCCCTCCTTAATGCTGCATTCTGGTCTCATTCTGTATCTCTTCATCCTTAGCATTTCATTTTCAGAGGCTTCAGACAATTAATAAAAAGAGGAGGGTAAAGAGAAGGGATGCAGATGAGCAAAAGAAATAGTGGGAATTTGAGTAAAGAAAGAAGTTTCTCCTTTTGTTTCTAAGGAGGACATGTGAAAGAAAGACAAGAAAAGGGCAAATTAAAAGAGAATTAGATAGAGTGTAGATCCAGAAAAAGAGGTATCTTGATATGCAAAGGTAATTGGTTCTATTGCTTTCCCTGATTATTTTGAGGAATTTCTAGGCAATTGGTCATAAAAGTTTATGACGGCAGCAGTGAGCTTGTTCATGCTGGGCAACATTGGCTTGCAACAATATCAAGTAAAAGTATCTTGGTCAGAATTTCTCTCTAGGCTATTGTTGCCTATGTTTTTGTGTTGGTGTCACACAGGCTGGTTCTCTAAATCAGCCTTTTGCAGCTTAGTATTTTGAAACATACTGGACTAAAATTCCCATTATCTGGAGACAATAAATCTGTAGGTACTTTACCTGTGCACCTTGAGAGTACCAGATGGGCAAAAGTCACTCTAATTGAACTTCTCTTCATATTGTTTAAAACTGTATAGTTACTTTGATGGATGTAAGTGCCCACCGAACCTGAAAGCCCAATTTCTGAGTCAAAATGCAGGTAAATGGAGTGTAAATATTCTTTTTAGCTGCTTAAGGTAGCATCCTTTTCCCTACTAAAGGATAGAATAACCATCCCCTATCTAGTTCATCCTAACAGGTGCACTGGTCTAATAAACTGATATTCCCAAAGGAACTTGAAGGGAACTGCAGGTTGAGTGCATTACGATAATCAAAAGAAGTGACTAAGGCATGCATCATTAAAGCCAGATGGGAAGATTCCATTTGGATACTTATCAATACTTGGAGGGCATTAATAAACAAAATTATTTCATTCAAGTTTGACACTCAAGAAGAAGAGAAACTTCTCCAAGCAGCTGAAAGATACCAAACTGAATGTGCACTGAAGTTTCCAAGTCGTCAGTGCCTGACAACAGTAACTGACATTAATGGAAAAATTGTCTTTATCACAAGATTCATCAAGCCTCTCAACCCACCAGAGGAGCTCCTGCAGGCTCATGTTGACAATCCACAGGAAACCTCTGTAAGTCTTTCCAGGGGAGGTGGTGGAATAAGATTCTGACTAGGACACTTTGGAGGGAAGTTGAAAAGTCTTTAATTCTGTAGAAATTAGCAAAGAAGAGAGAACCAGCCTAAACAAATTTCATTGGTATAATGAGATACTGTATGACTAACTTAAACACAGAAATTGTACAAACCTGTACAAAGCCTTTGAGAATACATTGTACAAAGGAAGTTCTTTTTTTTAATGGGGTTCTCAGTGGGCTGAAACATGGCTTGGCATGGGAGAACATTTTAGTATGCTTTGTCCCAATTTACCGCATTAGAAATAGTGGTGAGAGGATTTGTTACAATATTTTGTGCTTCCTTTTTTCATTCCTTTTTTGATAACCCTATAAATATTAGAAATGATAGCCGTGTTAGTCTGTGCAAGCATGTCAGGTAAAATCCAAAGGGAAAAAACAAACACCACACCCCAAAGACAAAAACATGTGGTACCTTCAAGACTATTATATTTTAATGTGAGCTTTTGTGAATCATGTCTGCTTCTTCAGACATGTGGAATAAAATGAAATACAGAATTAAGTACCAAATTCACAAGTAAAACATTCAAAACATTCATTGGTAAGACTTTTAAAGCCAGTCATTAGTCCCATCTAGAGTAGGGTTATTGGATCAATGGGGAATTAACAAGTCAGGTCAACATAAATTTGATTAATTCAATTGATCTATGCTAACATTGGTTTGGAGCCTAAGGCAGAGCCAGAGCTGGTCAAGAAAAGAGAGTAACTCTTTGGTGAATATCCTTTTGCATTTTTTTCAGGTATCACTAGCAATGGCAGAATGATACCAATTAAAGTAATCTTTTTTCAATTTCTGAGTGTACAATATAATTGTACATGAGTTGCATGGACCTTGACATCAAACTCTGGGTGCACAATATAATTGTGCATGATTCGCATGCACCTTGAAATCGAAAAGGAACTTTTAAATTAGTCTGCTACTATTGGTAACATAACTCCTTTTGTGAGGTGGGTGCTACACAATAGGATGTGTAATCGAAATATACTCTAGTCATTGCTGGGCTTAAGTTGCTTGAAATGTTGCTGTTAATTTAATTAGAAGTAGTTTTATCATTGGACTGACAGCACTGCTTTCTGTTTGCTTTGTAAAGGAGCTGGTGGCCCACTATGTTGCCTTGATTCCTTTCTTGCCTGATACTGTATCTTTTGGTGGGATCTGTGATTTATGGAGCACATCAGATGTAAGTTCATGGCTTGGATTTTGTTTTAAAATGTGACTATAAATTATTCAGTTTCTCTTCAGTTTTCTATGAACAGCTGATCTGGTTAATGCCACTCAGGTTGTGTTTGTGTCCCCTTGGAATTTGTTCCTCTGCAGTTGTTTTCCACTGCCTGTTGCTTGTCTTGTAACATGCTGCTTTCCAGTCTCAGTTGCTCCTGTTGCAGCTTTTACTAATTGAATTTTGGCAAGCTGGTTTCTACAGAATACAGTAGACTTTTAACAGGAAACATTGTCCTGAATAGCTGTGTAATGGTTCTTTTTGAAGTCTGCCATTAAGTGAGTAAAGACTGTACTGCAGACTAAAGATTTCAACAAATGAAAACGAATTTCAGTTCTTCAAAAAACTTTTGGTTTATAAAAGTGGAATATTGTACTTCTATATCCATGATTCATAACACCAGAAAATGGCCTGATGTTGCTGCACAATATTGTGCCGGCATTGCCAGCAAGAAAAAGGATGCCAAACATTACATAGCAAAGGGCAGCCTGAATGTTAATGACATCAAGGACAATAGTAAAATTGTCTACAGCAACTACAGGATTCCGATATACTGCAGTTAACAGTAACTGATGATATTGGTAATTCAAATTATTTGCTTGTGTTCACTAGCAATGCCTTGATCTTCTGGCTGGAGATGAAGAAGAACATGCCGTACTGTTGTGTAATTATTTTCTTGCTCTTGGCAAAAAGGCCTGGCTTCTTATTGGAAATGCTATTCCTGAGGTAAATCATTTATTATTTGTAATCAAATTATTTCATGTTTGATAGAATAAAAATTATTTACAGTTTGCTGACTCACAAACAATAGATTTATCTTGCAGCTGGAAATTTTAAAATTATTTTGTGTACCTAAGAAGAGATGCAACAAGAACTCCAATTTTGAACTCCAGCCCTCAAAGTTTGACTAGTAGTACTGTCTCAGTTTCCAGATGAAAAGTAACTGCACTGTGTTAACTGATTTTTACCATGTACTTGTCAGGCTCCATGGTAGGATAGAAGCTTCCCTGCATTCACCTGAATTAGATTCATATCTTGGAAGTACACCCCCCAATCAGTTCATGTTGCTGGTGTGGACTACAATGAAGTGGCTGAATTCATTGTTGCCCAGCTGGACTTCTTCCCCTTCACAGAATCATAGAATAATTAAGTTGGAAGGCCATTGAGTCCAACTCCCCTGTTCAATGCCTTTATCATGTGTGCTTAGTTATGATAAGTTCTTGAAAATACAGGGGCATGTCTATAGGTGGTGTTTTGCTGACATTGGCAATTGGTGCATGATGTTCAGGGCCAGCGGGGTACTTGCAAAAGCAAAGCGTCATAATTTTAATGTGGGGGATTTGGTGCTAGCCCTGAATCCTGTTGGATCATGTGGGAAGGAACTTTTGATGTGAAACAAAAGCTTAGTGCTGTTAATCACTTAACTGGTGGGTCTGAAAGCCTCTTTAAAATCACCATCCCCTTTCAATCCATTACTCTTTTCCTTACTGTAATAAACCATAGAATAATGAAGTCTGAGGGAGCCTATATGGCCATTGAGTTCAACCCCCAGCTTAGAGCAGGAATACAAATCAAAGGATATCTGCTAGGTGATTATCTAAATTTCTCTTGAATGCCTCCAGTGCTGGAGCACTCGTCATCTCTTGAGGTAATTGGTTCCATTCCCATACTGCTCTAACAATTAGGAGGTATTTCCTGATATTTTACTAAAATATGGCTTCCTGTAACTTGAGCTCATTACTGCATGTCCTGCACTTGGGATGAACGAGAACAGATCCTGCCCTCTCCTCTGACAGCTGTTATATCTCCCCTCAATCTTCTTTTGTCAAGGCTAAACATGCCCAATACTTTAAGTCTTTCCTCATATGGCTTGGTTTCCTGCCCCCTGAACATCCTTGTTGCCCTCTTCTGAACTTGCTCCAGTTTGTTGGCATCCTTCTTGAATTGCGGTGTCCAGAACTGGACACAGTATTCATGATGAAGCTTAACCAGTGCTGAATAGAGAGCAACTAGTACCCTGTGGGATTTGGAGACTAAATTACTGTATAATGCATCATAATATTGCATTTCCCTTTTTTTTAGCTGCACCACACTGTTGGCTGATATTCAACTTGTGATATACAATGACTCCAGTGACTTGATAAGAATGACTGAAACTTGGTGGGACAATTCCTGTGTCTGAAAGACAGCAACTGAAAGAGGAAGAAACTGGCTCATTGAGAGCATCTGGATCAGTGTAGTTGGGGCAAAAAACAAAAGGATAGTTGGAGTTTTCTATCAACTGCCCAATCAAGGAAAGGATGGAGATGAAACTTTTGAATAACAAATTGCAAGCATTTCAAAGATGGGAGATTTCAGTTATCCTGATATCTGTTCAGAAGCAAATTCTGTGTGGCTGATAATTTTCTCCTACAAAGTGTAATGAAATAAATTAGAGGACTAGTTATTCTTAATTCTAACCAATAGAGACGACTTGGTGGAGGAAGTGTCAGTAAGAGGAACTCTGGGCGAGTGACCATGTTCTTCTAGAATTCTTGATTTCAAAGGAAACCAAAGCAGAGTGTAGCCACACATATGCACTGGATTTTTAAAAAGCCAATTTTAATGAACTCAGATCAAGGATAAGTAAGGACCTATGGCAGGAGATTCTATGAAGAAAAGGAGGCCAAGTAGGGTGGGAGTTTCTAAAGAAGGAAATTCTAAAGGGGCAACTACAAACAATTCCTACAAGAAAAAAAGTGGGAAAGAGCAAAAAAGGCCAGTGTGGCTTCACAGAAAGCTCAGATAGGACCTAAAAACAAAAAGGACACATATAGGAGGTGGAAGGAAGGCCAGGCCACGAAGGCAGACAAGAAATTGCAGGGGCAACATTGGGAGAGCAAAAGCTGAGAATGACCTGAGATTAGCTAGAGACACTAAAAGCAACAAAAAAGCATTCTTCAGGTATGTGCAAAGTAGAAGACAAAAGAAACAGTTTCCTCCATCTCAATGGAAATGGGAAAATGATAACAGAGGACAAAGAAAAGGCAGAAGTGCTCAATTCATTTTTAGCTCAGTCTTCCCCCAAAGGACAGACTATGATTCCAGACAAATATGAAGTGCAGTTGGAAGGGATGAGATTGCAGCTGGAGATTGATAAACAAATAGTTATTACCTTGAATGAGTTCAAATCTCCAGGGCTGGATGAATTGCATCCAAGAGTATTAAACAAACTGGCTGAAGAACTCTCAGAACCACTATCCATTATATTCTTGAAATAAAGGGAAATGGGTGAGGTGCCAGAAGACTGAAGAAATGTTTTGTCTGTCTAAAAAATGGCAAAAAGGAGGAACCTGGAAACTACAGCCACCTTGACATCAGTTGCTGGGAAAATCCTGGAACAGATTATAAAACTGTCACTATGCAAACACCTAGAAAACAATGCAGTAATTAGAAGCCAACACAGATTTGTCAAGAACAAATTCTGCCAGACTAATCTGATCTCATTTTTTTAAATCAGGTAACCCCCCTAATAGAAAGAGGGAATGCTTAAGACAAATTACAGCTTGACTTCAGAAAAGCTTTTGACCAAGTGCCCCTTGATATTCTGATTGGCAAGGTAACTAGGTGTGGGCTGGATAAAAGAAGTGCCAGGTGGATACACAGTTGGCTACAGAATTGAACTCAGAGGGTGATTATTACTGGATCCTTCTCCAAATGGGAGGAGATGACAAGTGGGGTACCCTAGAGCTCAGTCCTGGGCCCAGTGCTTTTCCATATTTTTATTAATGACATGGATCAGAGGATACAGTGAATACTAAATGAAATTTGTGGATGACACAAAATCAGGTGGATTTTCTTTCTGTCATCCTGGCAGACAAACAAAATTCAAAGTGATCTAGATAGGCTTGAGCATTGGGCTGAAAACAACAGAATGAAATTCAACAGGGATCAGTGCCACCTAGGAAAAAGAAACCAAACATACAGTTACAAGATGGGAGATATTTGGCTCAGCAATACCGTAGTTGAGAAGGATCTTGGAGTTGTTGGAGATCACAAGTTGGATATCAGCCAACAGTGTGATATGGCTACAAAAAAGTTAAATGTTATTTTAGGCTGTATTGTCTCCAAATCCTGCGAGGTACTAGTTTGTCTGTATTTGCCACTCGTTAGGCCTCATCTTGAGTACTGTGTCCAGTTCTGGACACCAGACTTCAAGGATGCTGACAAATGAAACAAGTTCAGAGGAGGGCAACAAGGATGACCATGGGTCTAGAAACTAAGCCCTATGATCTGGGCATGAAAGAACTGGGCATTTTTAACTGAGAAAAAAAAAGAGTGAGGGGAGCTATGATAACACTCTACAAGCACTTGAAAGGCTGTATTTCAGAGGAGGGGCCGGTCTGTTCTTGATCATCCCAGAGTGCAAGACAGACAACAATGAGCTCAAGTTACAGGAAGCCATATTTCAGTTAAAAATCAGGAAAAAACTTCCTAACTGTTATAGCAATATGGGAATGGAACCAAATGCCTCAAGAGGTGGTGAGTACTCCAGCGCTGGAGGCATTCAAGACAATCACCTGACAGATATCCTTTGATTTGTAAGCTCTAAGCAGGAGGTTGAATTCAATGGCCTTATAGGCTGCTTCAAACTTCATGATTCTATATTCAATTCCCTTATGGCCTTAATTCTGGGAACTAGCTGCTCTAGTTCTCTCACTTTTTCTTCTAATAGTGCCACCAGTTTGCACTTGCTCAGTGTGTATGCCATGTTACTCTCAAAACTTCACAAGTCGCCACAACTGAAGTGCCTCTTCCCTCCATAATACCTGTTAGCTTTTTGCTTTAATCTGTTTGTCTATGAATGCCCTTTTCATTTATTTTGGTTTTTTTTCTTTGCCTTTGCCTTCTTGGTGTCTGCTTTTCTTTTGTCTTTTCCAGTAGACCTTTCCATCCTTCCTATCTCTTCCCCATGAATTTCCTGTAAACCCTCCCTGTTAGCGGAGTCTAGTTGCAAACTCCCTGGGTCTGCCTCATCTGTATTCCTCATCTGTGCTCTGTTAGGAGTCAAGAATCAAAAGGCCTAGAGCTGTGAACTGTTTACTGCCCTTGGCCTTTTTGTTAAGGAAGTTGTGTGTAGGAATAACTCTCTCTAGTGGAACTAGAATACGGGCATTATACATTTCCACAAATCTTATTTAGACCTCTCTCTGTGTAAAGTAACTGGCACAGTGCAGTCAGTTACAGCACTTTGCTGCAAAGCCTGGGATTGGAGTTCAGATCCCCCCCCTGTGCCTTCTGGGAAAGCAGCCAGCTGAAATCACCCAGGGCATGTGTGAGGTTGTTTATTGGGCAAACTGCATGGTCACAGATGGAGGGACTAATAAACAACTTCTGAGAATTTGTACTAAAAAAAAGAGAGAGAGAAATCCACACACCTGGTGCCAAACAAAAAAAATACTCCTGTAAGTCAGAATTGGTTTGACAGCACATAATGATTATTAACAATAATTGTTTGCTGTCAAGTCAATTCTGACTTATGGCAAGCCTTTTCATGGTTTCCTAGAGAATACTCAGAAGTGGTTTATCATTTGCTTCTTTTGGGAGTGCCCTGGGATTGTGCACCTTGCCCCTGGCTGTACAGGCTGGTTCTTCTCACAGGAGGCACAGTGGGAGATCAAACTCCCAAACTCTGGCTCTGCAGCCAGATACCTATCCAACCAGCTTAAGAAAAGTATGCCGGCCACAAAGAAACATCAGGAAGAACAACCTTCAGAACACGGCCAAAGAGCCCGAAAAACCCACAACAACCAAAAAAAAAAGTTTACTGTTCTTTTTAAAAAGCACAGCTGAGTCTTAGATCACTTTGTTGGAATGTTCTTTCAACATTCTGGTGTTATGGGAACATGAAGATGTGTAGTCAGCTGTAGGCTATCTTCCCTTACTGAATTTGTATGTCACCCTTAGATTGAAGATGATGAGCAGGTCTATTTAGTGCTTTCTAAATATTGAAAGCACATCTTAAGGTTGGGAAACCTTTGGTTTTCCAATGTTTTGCCTATTTCTCCTTATACCTTGGCTATGCTGGCTGGGGTTTTTCAGAGTTGAAATCCAAAACACTCAGAGGGGCTAGGTTCCCTAATCTTGCATTATCTTGCTGAGGTCCTTAAAAAGCCCTGGAACATCTGCCAACGTTATTATTCTACCTATAATTCAATGGGGTAATGGCTCTGAGGCTAAGAATGGGTGGCTTCTTTAACACTATTATGTGATTCTTTGGAAGTTCAACCTTTATGCTGTGGCACAGAGCCTTGGTCACACTATAAAAACTGTTTTTTTTAGCAAACTGCTCTCTTGCACTGGACACAGTTTTAAACTCATGAGAGCTTATGAGACTCACTAGTATGTGGAGGGGGTTTCTCTTGTCTTTTTTACTTTTTATTATATATTTGAACTAACAAAGAAAACAAGAACAGAACAGAACAAAAAGGCAGCATATACAATGATGTTAGTACTCACTATAAACCACTATTTAAAAATCACAAACTAGTAGGTTTTTTGAATCCAAAATATACACCCCAAATTAGGGTGGGTACATACAACCTTTAACTATAGTAGCACTGTAGAATCTTCTCTTGATCTTGGTATTAATTAATTCCAAATAAATGAACACAAATTGTATCATTTTGTTGTATCATCTATGAGCAGAAAATTAAGCAAAGTTTCCAGTTATACAGAACTTTTTAGCAGTTAGAATATAATTGTTTCTTCTCCATTGTTATTGTACATTAATGCAATCCACAAATTATGGACTTGTTTTTATTATTGTAAGCCACTTTGGATACCTGAGAAGATAAATTAGAAATAATTTAAATAAATAAATAGCCTACACTGTAAAGAAAATGGCTTAGTTTCTACAAAATGTAATATACTATTAGGTGTCCCAGTCACTGTTCGTTAAATATTGTATGTAAAATTCAACATTTATGAGATTTCTAAAAATTTTCTACCTAGGGACCAACTGCATATGTGCTAACCTGGGAACAAAAACAGTACATAATTTGGAATCCTACTTGTGGCCGTTTCTATGGGCAGTATGATGCTTTCTGCCCACTGCAAAATGTAGGCTGCTTAATATCCTGTGACAATGTAAGTAATTCACATCCATGTATTGCTCTTTTATTTTATGAACTCATGTACCTGCCATACTATAGGGAGTCAGACCATTGGCACAAGTAAGCCAAAATCATGGATAGACTTGTGGTGGTTCTTCAGGATATCTTTCACAGCTCTGCTGGAATCTGAAATTTACTCTTTAACTGGAAAGGCCAGAAATAAGTCACATGAATTTCTGCACCCAAGATAGTGTTGCAAATCTGTGGCTTATTTTGTGTGTCTGCTTTAACACTTTCTTGGCATCAGTCCTGCAAGAGCTGGGATGCCAGTCAGTCTTGCAGACTCCTGTTTTAGACTAGCACAATACTACTGTATATCCCTCCCTTGCTTCTGCTTCATGGCTCTGGTGAGAAAGGTTGAAACCTGCCTCTCCCACATACAAACACATACATGTGCACATATACATGTGCTTCACAGTAGTAGGGTGACAGAATTTGTCTTTTGACGAACCACAAAAAGGCAGGAACTAAACTCTAGTGTTAATGGGTTGTATATGCCTTTATTTCCATATTAACACTACACAACAGATATATGTTGAATGAAGGAAAGTGAGATGTTTTTCTAATGTGGAACAATATTTAAAACTTGGTGTATTTTCTTGAAATCATCCATTTGGCTGAAGACTTGCATTTAAAATCTATGTGGTCTCTTAGAACTGGCTGCTTCAGGTTGGGTCTGTAGCCATCCACTTTCATGCTCTTTTAGGTGAAGATGGGTTCTGTAACTATGCACTGGCTAAATGTTGATATATGCAAACATTGGTATAATATGTCACTGTGTAGTAGTATGGTTTTGATAGAATGAGAAAGCAGGAAATATATGCTGTCATGATATAGACCACTGGTTCTTAACCTTGGGTTACTCAGGAGTTTTGGACTGCAACTCCCAGAAGCCTTCACCACCAGCTGTCCTGACTGGGGTTTCTGGGAGTTGCAGTTCAAAAGCATCCGAGTAACAAAGGTTAAGAACCACTAATATAGACTAGAATCATAAAGACTTGGGTTGTGAAACCAAGAGATATATTTTCTCCCAGCAGTACTACTCCCCAAAATTCTAACAGGAAAGTGCATCTGAAATGGAGGGAATTTGTAAAAGTACTTTGTGATCTGGCATAAAGTTCAGGTGTTCAAAGGGAACATGAAAAAAATCTCATAAAAAAAGCCACACTGAAAATCCAAAAACAAGAGTAGGGCCAGTAAAATATGAAAAATATGTGAGCTTTTGAGTATAGCAGGATTCTTCATTGGGACATTACAGAGCTTGCAGGGTAGGGAGGAAAACAGAAAAAACAAACAACAACAAAAAGAACAGAAAAACTTCATGTAGTCCTTGTATACAATCCAAATAACAAACCTATCATGTACTCTTGTCTTAGAAAAATGCAGAAATCCCCACTAACAAAGTGCCACTAAGCCATATGCAAGGGCCAGCTTTACCTCAGCAAGTGTAATTCTCCAATGCAAGCAAAACTGGTTTGTATTAATTTGCTGTTAAGATGGGAACAATGATTAACCAGGTTATTGTCTTATAGGTTTGGTTCAATATTCAACAGTATGATTCCCCACTAAGAATAAACTTCGATGTCAGCAAACCTAAATTGTGGAAACCTTTTTTTTCAAGAAGTTTACCATTTCCTGGTCTCTCCAGTGTACAGGTATTAGATATTTCATTCAAACAACTTTGTAGCACAGAGAAAATATAGGAAGTCTTTCATCTTTTTAAAATTGTATTGACTTCTGTAAGGGAGACAATAGGGGGCAGGTTCTTGAAATAACTGAAGGAAAAAGTAAAATTAATTTAGGAAATGTATAGATATGCTTCATTTGTTGTTAAGTGGTATATGCTCTCCATTGAACAAGTTACTTGTTAGGTATCCATTCTACCATTTATTTGTGATACAAGGTTTCTGTGCTTCAAATATTATTTCTGACATATTATAGTACGTTGATGCTGAAGCAGACTGTTAAATAGTTATGGACAGCTTAATATATTAGTAGAAGAATAATATGGGTAACAGTCACAAAGTTTTGCATTCTTCATGCCAAGGAAATGAGTCAAAATAATTAAATTTTAATCCACAAGGCAGAAATGTGAAAATGATTTACAGCTGCCCAGCACACAGATACTTGAGTCTAGATTTGTGGCATGTCCACCAGCATGATGTTGCAGCAAGGTGATAAGACTGTATGTTACAGCACGATGGGTCTTACTTCTTAGGCAGCCAAGATAAAACTTATACTTAGCATGGATATATTGCTTGGTTGCTTAATTAACTGAGTTACAGATGCTATCGCCATACATTTATTATGGCTTGCCAGCATGTTCCTTTGTTTAATCAGGGATGTTAAGACAAAAGATAAGAGTTCTTACAGGTTTGTCTCAAATGGTTTCTGTCCCTACTCATGCTGCAGGGCACACTTTAGACCTGGTTTTCTGCACTTGTAGATATTGGTGATCTGGGTGTGGAGTTAAAACAAGTTACTCTGAGTGGTCATCTGTGAATTCATACTAATGGGTTAATCTCCGCCTGAGCAGAGCATTCTCGGAAGCTTCTATAGCTTTAAGCACTTGGTGCCAGGACCTCCCCTACACCGGCTATATAACTTCGCCCCCAGCACCTAGTGCCTCAGTTCAAAGGAACCGACCACCACTGCCCAGCTTGCAATGGCACATTTGACGGACAGAGGGGAGGAGGGCAGGGAGTGTGAATTCACAGATGACCACTCAAAGAACCAGAGTTACAGGTAACTTCTTTTTCTCCTTCGTGGTCTCTGTGAGTGCACACTAATGGGTGACTGGCAAGCTGACTAACCAGGAGGAGAGACAGCATGAAAATGCAGAAGCCAGGACAGCTCGACCTACTGCAGCCTGAGTGTTCGGACGGACATCCAGGAGGTAGTGCGAGATGAAGGTAGACGGAATGGCGCATGTGGCAGCACGGCAGACATCCACGATGCCCACTCCATGGAGAAAGGGCATTGAGCATGCTACAGATCTAGTAGAGTGAGCTCTCACTGATTTTGGAAGAGGAGTCTCTGCCAAGTTATAGGCAAGATGGATGGCCTGGATTATTCATCTAGAGATGTTCTGAGAGGAAGCTGGTGCTTTGAAGGAGGAGCCAGCAAAGATGACATAGAGATGTTGTGAGGCACGAAAAGTGGTCATGTAGCGCACATAATATGACAGAGCACACTTCACATGCAGGGCTGTGTCAGGAAGGACAGTTGGCTGGTTTAAATGGAAGGCAGAAGATACCTTAGGCAAGAAGGTAAGGTCTGGCCGTAAGGTTACTTTGCAGAAAGGAGGTTTTGCTCTTAGCCAGTCCTCCAGCCCTATGAGCTGAGGTTCTCGCCAGGAGAAAGGCAGTCTTGAGGGTTAGCAAGCAGAGTGATGCTGGTGCCGAGGGCTTGAAGGGAGGCCTCATAAGCCGCTGAAGTACTAATTAAAGAGACCACTGAGGTGTTAGTGGTCTTATAGGCAGGGCACATATTTTCCAGGCCTTGGAGAAATAGCTTGCAAGTAGAATGGGCCAGTCCCAGGTGAAACAGGTATAGGAGAAACTGAAGAAGTGTGTCCAGAGACGTTGGCCTAGTAGGCGAATGTAGTCTTGATGCAAAGTGACGGAACGCCTACCAATTATAGGAGTAGGTCAAGGTGGTAGAAGGTTTGAGAGCATGATTGAGCATGTCTGTTACAGCCCGGAAAGTCTGCAAGCCATCAAGTGGAGGGACTTGAGGTCCGGATGAAATACCTAATATCTGTCTCGAGACAGTAGATGAGGGACCAGCTGCAGCCTGATGTATTCCGCGGCCCTTGAGAGCAGGATCAAGAGCCATGGCTGGCGAGGCAACCAAGCATGATGTTCACACTCTCATGTCAGACTCAAATGACAGTCTTTTGAAGAAGGGGGAAATGTGGAAACATGTAGAGGAGGCCCTGTGACCAATTCATCAGGGAGGCGTTGCCTAGGGTGTTGTGGCTGATGCTGTCCCAGGAGGAGAACATTGCCCACTTCTTGTTCATCCAGGATGCAATAATGTCTATGTCTGGAGTCCCCCAACAATGACAGCAGCAGCGAAAGATGGCATTGGCAAGAGTCCACTCGTGAGAACAGAACTGTAGTCTGCTGAGATGGTCTGCTACAGAATTGTTCTTGCCTGTCAAATGTACAGACACTGGATAAAATGTGGCAAGTGTAACACCATTCCGGAAGGTCGCTGGTGTGAAAGAGAAGGCGTAATGAATGAGTGCTGCCTTGCTTGTTTATATAATAAACTGCAGTGGCATCGTCTGATGCGACCTGGACCATCTGACCAAGGAGTAGGGGTTTGAAGGGCTGAAAGGCCTTGGTGATTGCCAGGAGGTCCAGCATATTGATATGCAGGCCAGCTTCTATCATGGACCAGCGGCCATGGACAGCATGGTGTGTAGACAAGCACCCCCAGCGTGACAGGCTGGTATCCACAGTTAACTGAACCATTGGGATCAAGAGACCAAAAGGTCTCCCTAGCCATAGGTTGGGGGGGGGGATTTCCACCAGTTCAGTTGTGCAGCAAGCTCCAGAGTCACCTGGAGCAATTGGATGGGTGGTTGCAAAATGTCTGAAAGAGTGAGAGAAACCAGGCTTGAAGGCAGCGCATCCTCAGTCAAGCATGCTGTACCACAGCTGTGGTAGATGCCATCCGCCCCAGAAGTCGCTGGACCTGTAGGGCAGGGACCAAGCACTTGAAGATAAGGAGCATAACCAACCATGCATTTTCCCAATCTTGTTGTCAGGAAAAAAAGCCTGCTTCAAGAAAACATCCAAAGTTGCATTAATATAATTTACACATTGTGTAGGCTGCAAAGTCGACTTCTCTAAGTTGACTTTCAGTCCTAACGCTGACAAAAGAGACAGTGTGTTTACAAGGTTGTGACTTGGACTCAGCGACCAGGAGCCAGAAATCCAAATATGGCTAAACAGTGATTCCTCCTACTGAAAACCTGAGAAAGCATTGGTGGTCTGACCGGATGCTAGGATAAAAATGAGCATCTTACAGTTCAATCATGGTAAACCAACTCCCTGTACGTAACATGTGAATAACAGAGTTCAAGGAAGCCATACGGAATCTTTGTGGAGTAATAAAAGAATTCAGGCCTCCAAGATCAAGGATGGGTCAGAGGCCTCCATCCTTTTGGGGGATGGTGCAAAGGAACAATAGCATCGTCCCCTAACAAGACCTGAATTTCATCTTCCAAATGGGGTGGCCTTAACGTGGCCTGTGACAGGGGGTATATCGAATTCAGTGGCATAGCTGGTAGCTATGATAGAGAGTACTGAAGTGTTAGACGTGAAGGAACACCAATTTGGAAAGACAAGGGGTCAAACAGACTGATTGGTCAATGACAGAGAAATCAGGTGCAGCAAAGAGACTGCTCAGTTTTGCGGTCCTGCCTGCGATTTTGTTGGTCAGGGCGCTGCCTGCCCACATGTCTAGGGGGTGGTGGTTGGTAACTTTGGGGTTGGGGCCTTTGATGTTCCTGGGATGCCCTAGGCTGGTAAGAACACCTCCAGGTACTCGAGGTTGTTGTGCTGCAAATGACCATGCTGTCTTCTGGAGCTTGAGCAGTTTATCAAGAATAATGTCAGTCAGCCCTACACCATCAAACGGCAGGTCCTCGATCCACCAGTTGTTTGGATGCTGGTTTCAAGGCATGCCGAGCAGCAATGTGCTCATGACGTGCAAGCCCCATTTCCTCCTGGTGATATGAGAGGCCCTGGCTATAAAGGTGTACAGGAGCTACCAGCAGAAGGTCAGTGCCAAATTCCATAAGCGGTAATGATAAGCACCCATGGAATGGAGTAATTGGCTACATGGCGGCCAGAGAATAAAAACGCCAACCAAAGATATCCTTATTTGTGTTCTCTGTATCAGGTGGGAATATGAAGAACAACCTTCTAACGGTAAAGGAGAGTGACTATCTGTGGCCACTCATATGGGTGTAGGAAGATTGGTTGGAAAATCTTCCTCCCCCTCTGACTCTTGTGAGTCCCAACCTGAATAAGGTAAGTCCTTCTGACGATCAGGGGATAAGTATTAGTGTGAACCTGACCAAGATCAGTCTCAAGAACAGCTGCCGGGACAAAGAAGGCTGAATTGGGTTAACAGAGGGTTCGGTTGAACCTGGGGACACTTTGCTGCCGGATCCGAGTTTGAGGGAACATTATTCCTTTGAGGCGTAGGTGGGGGCACAAAGCGTTCCTCGGCCTGTGGCTCAGAACAGCGCCAGGTAGAGTGGGGAGGCGGTGGTGGCAGAAAGGGTGGCAGATAAGACTCATAGCTCCTATACCAAAATAAGGCACTGGTCCTGCTTGAACTTGTCACTGTGATAGGACCCTATTGAGGAGCAGGAAAAATACTTGGGTCTGCTTGACAGCCACAGGATTCCTGTGATTGGGTCAACTCCTATGAGTCCTTTTCCTATGAGCCTACGCAGGCACTGGCAGCTGAGGTGAGACTGCAGGCTGCTGTGTGAACGAGCCCATTGATAAATGAGGGCTTTTTCGTGCCAATTTATCAAACTCCAAAGAGGTGTTACTCCAGTCAGGAATATCACTGATAGGTGGGAGCTGCAGGGGGCCCTTTCCCCAAAGGCAAAGCCAAGGCTTACTGT